ATTAATGCATTTTAATTAACACTAGATTGCCCAAAAGCAGTCAAAATGATTTCCTTGGGCAATCTAGTGTTAATAACTGTTCAAATTCCAATGAACTTTGTCACTGTTTTTATTTAAGGTCGAATCTTAATAAATAATTGCAATCTTTCCATGTATCCATTCGATTGCTCGGTGGGGTCTGACGTTAGGTAAAATTTATAAAACGAGACACGTCCAGGAGATGTCCTGTATCGATTTCGTGGCCCCAATTTCGTCGGTTAAACTCCCAAAAGTCTCGTTCCGTTGCTCTGGCCATGGAGAAACAGAGAGAGAAAGAGATAGAGAGAGAGTCGGCGAGGGCGGCGAGCCGGAGGGGGCGCGAGTAATTGAGGAAGCTCGGAACGGTGGCAGGAGCCAAGGCAAACAGTCCATCAGGACATTTGCTCGCTACGAAGAAGGAGTGAAAACTGCAGAAAGAGTTTCCCGATTTAATTAGAAAATTTGACAGAAGACGGTAGATAAGGTTGCAGTTAATTATCAGTCGGAAGTAGAGAACGGGAGAGCGTTTCGTTTCTCTTCTAACGGGACGATCACGTTTGTATCCGAAAACCCTGACGCCGCCGTCGCTGTGCCGAACTATGGCTGAAATTCGGCTTAATTTGTATTCCAGTTTCGCGACCGATTCCTCACCGCTTGAGACGGTTAATTAATTCGCTTTCGACGGTCTGACGTCGGATCGGCCGCGTACAGAATTCCTACTGAAACGTTCTTTGCTTTAATTAATTAAATAATCATGATCGTTCGAATGACTATTGTAAAAACGTTCGGGTACTTCGGATTTAAATATTGAGACATGGTATCAGGTGAAAAGATTATCGCGAGAGGGACGTACGGCTGCAATCCGGTTAAATTTGAATATGCAAGATCTATGAGCACGGCTGGGATATTTATGTGACAAGACGGACGCGGAGAAATAAAAAGGAGTACGAGACAGCGCTTACCGTGCGCCAGCGTTTTTCATCCGCGCTACCTGTTAAATGGCTCTGTTTATCTTCTGCATGGTCTACAGATACGACGGAGACGCGTAAATTATTGTCCGGCCATTATCACTTAACGTACAGCTCACTCAAAACCCGATTCCTCGGTAACGATTGTCAATTAATTATTTTTATTACTACCGACCGCTATTCAAGTCAAACAGTGCTTGCACACTTCTGCTTTTTATCAATTGATCTAATCTGTCTGGCTAATCACCGACCGATTCCACTTGATACGAGCGTACACGGTAAGAAATTATTCGTCAGAAGAATTATTTTTTTTGCGATAACAGATATTGACTAATAATTTCTTGTCACAATCAATGATCGTTAATTAATTATTTTTATTACCATCGACGTTAGTTAAACAATGCTTCCATATTTTGGCTTTTTATCAACCGACTTCGCCTGTCCAATATCACTTAACCCTTTCAGTGCCGAGTAAAAATATCGTATGTGAAGATTAATGGACCAATTTGACGAATTTGTTAAAGTTTATAATAAATAAATATAATAATAAAAATAAATTAGGGAAAATAAATTAATGA